GTTAGTCAGATCGTTCCCTAATCTTTATGCTAAGGGCTTACGAAGTAACTGGAACCTTATCCCAGACACGTAAACATCCGTTGACTTGCGATCCCTTCATCTGAGTCATTTGATTGTAAAACCTGTCTTGAGAAACGTTACCCACGGTAACCGAAACGTCGGCGAATACAATTCTCTATCGATATCGCTGTTATTAGCATTGCAACATTCACAATGGAACACCAGAAGCTTTCCTCTCGCAGTTTTCAGTTTCAGTTTTCACAACCATTAACCATGCACTTTCTTGCGTCGGTTTTGGTCGCTATCCTTTGGCTGCCCATTTGAATAAAAGAGCAGAATGAAGATTGAAATGGTGATAGAGTCCAAGGGAAGAATGAGAATTCGTGTAGACTCGGGTCGCAAGAATATTGAGTACATGCACTAGCGCGACTGTTTGCGACATTCCCTAACCACCGGTTACCACAATCTCGGGGTCCCCATTCAGGGAGCCTGACGAGACCTATGGGGCCCGGTGTCTTAGGGTTTTCAAAACCCTCATACCAGGTCTTGGTTTGACCGCCCTTGATTTTTTTATTCACTACCCATCTCGAAAAAGATCGCGCGCCGTGGCAACCTATTTGGTGACATGTGCGACACTGCCCCAATCAACGTAGTCTATGGAGGTCGACTACTTGTTCTAGTGGGCTCCCGTGGTTACCCGAAACTCTCCGTCCAACCTCATTGCTCGTCTCGTTTCTTCACTACACTCGTGCAATACAGGGTGGACAGCGGTTTGAGCATTTTTTCAAATATCAACTCGCAGTCGGGCGTCGGATAAGGGAACAGGGTCATCATCATCATCATCGTACAGCGAAATACAGTAAGCCCAACTTCACTGATAGTTGCCAAACTCGCAATACACGCAAGATTTGTGGAAATATTTAAGGTGCTTCCTCTGGTTCAAACTTTTGAGTCGAACGTTCCGGTTAGCGTTCCAAAAGAAAAACCCCTTCAGTGTGGGCTACCGCGAAGTATGCCGTGCCCCAAAGATGTGGTACCCATTTGGAAAACCCTCTTTCTCATCAATCCACTTCCCCTTCCCACCCACATCATCATCGTACGGCGAAATACAGAAAAGCGAACTCCACTGTCAAACGCGCAATGCGTATGCACTGGGGTTTGATGGGCGGGTACTGCCAAGGTGTCCAGCCACTAAAATTCCGAGATATTCTCAACCCCATGGAAAACATCAGAAATATTTCCAACCCCCAAACGCGGCGACCACTCTGACCCAAACAACTACCGCCCCGTCTCTCTCACACCAGTCATTTCGAAGGTTATGGAATCAGTTGTTGCTGATAAACTCCGCCAACACCTGGAGCAGAACAATATGCTTAGCGACCGCCAGTACGGTTTCCGATTACATCGATCTACCCGTGTTCTTCTGGCGCTCATTTCGCATACATGGTCAGCGGCACTCGACAACCACTGGGAAACCCATGCGGTGTAATTGGATATATCGAAAGCTTTCCACAGCGTCTGGCACGCCGGTTTGCTGGTTAAACTACCGAAGTTTGGCTTTCCTTCGGAACTTGTGCCCTGGACAGCAAGCTACCTCAAGGACTGCAGCATCTCCGTCAGAGTAGATGGAACCATGTCTCGTTCCGTGTGTGTGAATGTTGGTGTTCCCCTAAGTTCTGTACTTTCCCATTCCCTTTTTCTGATGTTTATTGATGACCTTCTTTCTTCAACTTCAAATCCTATTCACGCCTTTGCCGATGACGCTACTCTACACTCTTCTCTGTCATATTCCTCTTCGCGCATCGCTAACTCCGGCATTAGTGACGACCGCTCCTGCCTTAGTTTCTCACTAAATTCTGATCTGGGCCTTATCTCTGCTTGGGGCTGTAGCGACCGTGTTCTGTTCAATGCCAGTAAAACTTCCCTTATGACCATTTCTCCTAAACACACATCTCTCTCCCCTTCCTTGAATTTCAACTCCAACACTCTCCGTTCCACAGAATCATGCAACTTCTTCTCTTTCATGGTAACCTTATATTTATTTACTTGTTTCCCGCGCTGCGCGCAAAATTGGTTTCCTCTTCCGCCCCAGACTTTTCTTTACCCCCATTCACCTCCTCTCGCTTTACAAAGCTCAGATTCGCCCTACACTTGAATACTGCAATCATGTGTGGAGTGGAGCTTCGTCTACCTCACTATCTCTTCTTGATCGGGTTCAACGTAAGGCCATCTGTCTCATGAACAACCCGTCCCTAACATCCAACTTGCAGTCACTAGCTCACCGTCGGGCAGTCGCTTCTTTATTCTTGTTCTACCGATACTGTTTTGGATTTTGCTGTGATCAGCTTTCCACATCTGTCCCTCTCCCACTTGTTCTTCCTCGTAGATCTCGCGCACAAGCGACTAGCCACCCATTTCAAGTGACTATCCCCAGGTGTCGCATTTCNCATTTCTAACTTTCAATCCTCTTTTTCCCAAGAACAGCACTGTGGAACACTCTCCCATTCGGTCCTCCCTCCAACGTACAACATTCATGTTTTTCAACGCAGAATCAACAAGCTGGTTCTAGCTTGGATGTTCCCCATACCTCCCCACAGTTTATCTTTGGACCATCGGACCATCACGACGAGACTGCTTGGCGTGTGTGATGACTTGCGTGCCTCCATGACCCTGTGAGCTATACAGGATGGCTCCTCACAGTCGCAGATACAATCATGCCTGCAAGGTCAATGGGTAGAGGCCAGACAGAGCTTTGCCTCACATTACCTGCCGCTTGGGCACCTCCTGGCTTACTTTGACTAACCGCTCTCGCTCCTGGAGAGATCACTCCAACAAAAAGAGGGAAAGGGTAGTTTACCGGTCAAAATAACCCGCTAGATGGACGTAGGAGCGGGGTACCTGGGGCTTCCTCCTGACGGTGAGAGAAGTCTTCGCACTTCATTAGACAGCCACCGTCCGCCAGAGCTGGGCAGCTCCCAGCCAATAGGGTGCTGTCCCGTTCACGTTCCGCTTGTCTCACTGGGTGCATGAGGCTAAGGGCCGATCGCGAAAAGCGGACCGATAATCAACGCACCAGCGAACAACACAACTAATCAAAATACAAAGGCCTCGCATGACAGCTCTCCAGAAGCTCCCATACGTGTTCTTCGTTTATGCTTCCGCGTTGGATCTACGACCCACTGTCTTGTGGATCAGACTTTTGAGGCGAAAGCTCCGGTTAGGGTTCCCAAAGCAAAACCCCTTCGTCGGTGTGGGCAATCGCGAAGTATGCAGTGCGCTACCCATTTGGAAAACCCTCTTTCCCACCTGTCTAGTTCTTCCCCTCAATCCCGAGTAATTTCAGACGCCTGCTGTTCCTATCAGCCTTTAGGGTGGAGGCTCACCGTTAGTCTTGGAGTTGACAAAACTCCTGGGCTCAATATGGGAAAGGGAAGAGGTTCCAGCTAAATGGTATGAGTCGCCAAGGCTGAGCGCTCACTTCTGGACTGGATTCCAGTCAGTAGCTGATTGTTCGCTGTACGTCTCAACTGTTCAGCTCGAGTCAACAGCTACAGAATGAAGCGTCGATGCTTATTCGTCATATCGGCGTATGCACCGACCGATTGCAGTAAACCTGAAATCAAGGATGAATTCTACCAGGATCTTTCTCAAATACTCCAAAGTGCTCAATCAACG